TCAGTATGTGTACAAAGAAAACGGCTTAGATCTTTGAGTTCAGGTCATGAAAAATTGGGGCAAAAACAAAAGTGTTGCATTTATAATTTTGTTCAGTGTAGTATTAGTAAAGTTGTCTAAAAGACCAATTTTGTTCTTTCAGCCTTTCAGTAGATAGTGCCCGAATACTGTAGGAATTAGGAAGCTATCTACTACGCGGCTCCAAGATGTAGCCGCAGCACTGACCGGATCGGAATTTTATTTCTTCGAATTAAATTTTGAACCGAACAAAATGCACGAATTCCGTCCTAACACAAATGGACAAACTGTATTCATTTTATCAGGACTAAATTCTGTGATTTTGCTGGCGCCCTGTCTAGACGAACAGCAAATGAAGAAGTGGGAACACAGAGGAGAGGTGAGTACTGTGGGAAAATGTCTTTGACCACAGGAATGGAGCTGTCTTAAGCTCCTCCTTGGGTCAAAAAAGTTCAAGCGTGAGAAAAATACATAAGAAAAAGTAGTCCCCACTTTGTCGTAGGTTTTAAAGACAACTAGATCAGATGTAAAGAAAAGAAGAACAGATACTGAGAGAGGAAGAGAAGAGGAAGTGATTAGGGAAGGGTAAGTTCGGCTTGAGAGTGCCGCTTTAACTATTGATGAAACTATGATAAAACTATGATAACTATGTTTTACATTATGCTTGTGCCTACTTGTCACCCTCCTACTTCTCATTCTCACTCTGTCTTTAGTCATGTGCTGGATCTTGCTGTTAACACTGTATTAGTAATATGTTTTCGATCCTGACTCATTTATACTGAGTGCATTCATTCAATTATCAGCCTTGCAACTAGAGCCTGTTTTGTCAGAGTGGTTTTAATAACCATCAAAATATATGCATTTTACACACTTTTTTCTATAAAATTTAAATTTAATTAGATTTTAATATACCAGCTTATATCACTGTTGCATTTTTATTTTGTTTTACTTCCTTTATTTTTAAATATGATTTAGTGTATGTATTTTTAACTATATTTCTGTTTTATTCAAGAGAAGATATAATGCATATTTTCTTCTACATATCTCACTGCAGTGTGACATGTTTTTACAGGCCTCACAGTATTAGAGTTTATGTTAATTAAAGAGAATTTTTTTTTTTTTTTTTAGTTAGAGGTATTTATACCACTCAGCTACAAGTGTTATTATCATGGATTAAACAAAAGCTTCCAAAAGAATTAGATTGTCGGTTTTATATTTTATACTTTAGCTTTATATACCACTAAAAAAAAAGAAACTACAATTAAAAGTTAAAAATGCTTTTATGGGTGGGGCCTGACCTCCGAGCTGGATGAATGCAGATCACATTGGCTCCTCAGCACTGTATTAATAAATACTTCTAACTTACTCTCCGGCACCCAACTCAGGCAACAGCTGCTGCTGGTTCCATCGGGGAGCCCCCTGAGCACTGGAACCTCAGCTCTTGTCCTGCCTGCGGTTCATGCTAGCTGGCGAATCTTACGGCCTGGTGTTTGAGCGGGAGAAGAGGCCGATCTCCCATGCTTCATCCGACTAGGCCTAGCGAACCTGCCTTAAAGGCCCCGTGCTCCCCCCACACCCCCAAGAACTGGTGGGAGTTATCCTGACCCTGCTAGTGCCTACCTACATGAACTGACTCCAGTACATTGCTCACGCAACGCCACGCTCGTAGTCTCCCCAAGATGGCTGACTCACCTAAATCCTTCACAAGCACCGCTCTGTGCCCTCCAGAACCTTGTGGAGCGATCTCTACAGTGGCTAGACGCACTAATCACATATTTCTGGGTAAAACTAGAACAGCATGCAACAGTAGCCGCACAGCAGCCTCAATAGGGAGTTCAGTGGAAAGTACGCCAGCAGGTGAGCGACTCTCCTTTGGGCAGAGCCCTTATACAGCTACCGCTTACACTCATACTAACCCAACCGGGCCAAAGGCCAGCAGGGGCATGACCCTATAGCATTGCCCACACCAATGGAGGGATGTCCACTGCAAGCAGCGCAATATCACCATGGCCATCTGTATCTCCCGAAAGGAGGACTGGGACTCTAAGAACCTCCCTGTCCGCGACTCGAAGATGCCAGCTTCTACAAGGCCCTGGGGCCCACATCCACTATGCCTCTACCCACGTAGACACCCAACTTAAGGACTGGGGCATCCAAATCTCGGGTGAGTTGCCACAACACCCTACCACAACTACCAGGGTTACAAGAGACTGGTCCATTACCTGAACACTTAAGGATAATCACCTCTGAGAGAGGCAAGTCATTGCTACCCTCTACACAGAGCACCAGAGACTCATGACACACAGAGAAAAGGTTTTATGTTTGCCACGGTTATAATTTATGTTCCCATAGGGGCTTTATGTTAACAATATTTATGTAAAAGTTAAGGGTCAGACAGTTAGTTGCCAGGGTAGCAGAAGCACAAGCCCAATCCATTGAGGGACACCAAGCGGCAGTAATGCAGCAAGTAATGCATCCCACCGCTAAGGCCACAAATGAGTCACCGGAAAATGACCAGGCTCAAACCCCAACCCCACGCAGATATATCATACTGGTAGGCCAGTTCAATAACACCACTCTTACACTCATAGCCACGTACCTCCCCAATGAGAATCAAGGGCAATACCTGCACATGTTACTCTGCAAACTAGATAAAGTTAAACAGAGCAATGTTTAACTTTGCAGAGACTTCAATTGCATACAATCACCCATGTTAGACACAACGGCCACCCTCATGGGGAACAGCAAGAAAAAGATGGTATCCACTAGCAAGCACTTCACCAAGGTGATAGACCAATATGATCTATACGATGCGTGGAGGACACTCCACCCAAGCGATAGGGATAATACCTTCCACTCAAGAGTCCACAACACATACACACGCATAGACACATTCTTCCTGGACAGACCACTACTAGCATGACTGACAGGATGTTGCATAGGGGACATAACATGGTCAGACCACGGACCGATATATCTAGACCTACTTGACGCATACCAATTTAAGGGAAGGGGAACGTGGCGACTAAACGATTCACTACTACTGAATACAGAATTTGCACAAGAAATTAAAGAGGCCCTCCAAGACTACTTCGTCACCAGTAGAGGAGGGGAAGTTTCAGATACCACAGTTTGGGCAGCGCACAAGGCAGTTATGAGAGGACTGCTTATTAGACGGGCCTCCTTCCTGAAAAGGCATCACCAAACCAATCTCTTAGACTGCCATAAACAATTAGCCATGATCTCCAAACAAAACAAACACCATCCTACACCAATACTAGCAACACAACTGCAAACACTACATACAAGAATGACAGAACTAAATGCAGAGAAAACTAAAACCTTGCTCTACAAACTTAAAGCCAACATCTACCATAATAGCGGTAAAGCCAATAAATATCTAGCCAATAGACTTCGTGCTAGATACGCCAACACAAAAACAGCACACATTGTAGGGGATGACGGCACACAGCATCACACACCAGCAGACATCAGCAGGGAATTCGCAAAGTTCTACTCCAAACTGTACAACCTGCAATTGTCGGGCGCTACATACACAGCGAGTCACACAGAAATAGACAACTTCCTAAGGCAGACCAACCTCCCCCAATTGTCCCTTGACCAAAAGACATCACTAACCACTCTGATAGACCTACAGGAAATCCTGAAGGTGATAGCGGGTTTACCAAAGGGGAAGTCACCAGGGTCAGATGGGCTCACCAATGACTACTATAAAATGTATGCTAACGAACTTGCCCTCACCTACTTCGAGTATACCAAACAGCCACAACCACAGGGACCTTGCCACCAGAAATGCTCATGGCCACTATTGTCACCCTCCTGAAACCGGGAAAACCCCCGGATAAATGCCAAAACTACCGACCCATATCGCTACTGAATACCAACGCTAAAATATATGCAAAGATTATAGCTAATAGACTTAGAGACATCCTGCCCGACCTTATAGGAGATGACCAGACAGGGTTCGTGAAGGGTAGACAGGGGCTGGATAACACGCGGAAACTAACACTACTATTAGAGCACCTACGGAAAACTAAGGAATGCTCCAAGCACTAGACGCAGAAAAGGCGTTTGACCACCTCAGCTGGCCATTCTTAGACCGAACTCTGAGGGCATACGGTTTCCCACCTCCAGTAATAAGCCAAATTTTTGCACTATACTCTGCCCCAGCAGCACAAGTTCTACAATCAGGGTTCAAATCGGACTCATTTAAAATCTCCAACGGGACGCGACAGGGCTGCCCGCTCTCACCTCTCCTGTATGTATTAGCACTAGAACCCCTTCTTCGCACTACACGAGCCCACCCCCTGATAAAAGGCATCACAATAAAGAAAACCGAATACAAAATCAGCGCTTTTGCGGACGACATACTACTCTTCATAACGAGACCCCGAGAATCCCTACCACACATCATGCAGGCAATACAGATGTACGGCCGCCTATCGTACTATTCCCTGAACGCGACAAAAATGCAAGCCCTGGGGATAAATCTTCCTGCACAACTAATCCGCACATTATGCACCACATGCAATTTTGAATGGAAAAAAGACTACATCACATACTTGGGGCTCCACATTACCAGACAGACAAAAGACCTAATACCAGGGAACTACATTAGGGTGTGGAATGACTGCAGAACGATACTTAAGACATGGGGCCACCTATGCCTCACCTGGACAGAACGGATACTTGTTCTTAAAATGTCCATACTCCCCAGATTACAATATATATTTAGGACATTACCCATGAATGTCCCACAAACATACTTTAAAACAATTCAAAAAGATGTTAGCACAGTCATATGGACCAGAAAGAAACCGAGAGTGTCGCGTAGGCTGCTGGCGGCACCACTGACAGAGGGTGGACTGGCGGTACCGGACGTACAGGCTTACCACCAGGCTGCCATACTAGCATCGGCGATGCCGCACCTCATAGACCAACCCTCTCCTCAATGGGTGACGCTAGAAAAACACCTGATGGAACTATATGAGATTCCACATGTGCTATGGCTCCTCAAAATGCTTAGACCACCACTGATTGATACTCCAGCACAAATCACACTACTCCTGTAAGTCTGGGACCAGCACAGACACAAGCTGAGCTCTAACTGCCGAATCTCACAGGCCACACCACTAGGGGCCCGCAAATATTTGATTACTGTATCCCCACGTTCCATGCAACGCCATGGCAAGAGAGGCATCATGACTCTAACCCAAGTTCATAAGGGAGGTAGGCTCATGGACTTTGACACGCTGCAAAAAACATACGACATACCGCTAACATCACACTTCTCATACAGACAACTATCATCATTCCTCCACGCACATACTCCTAAAAATACCACACAAAATAGCCCAAGCCCACCTACCTACACCTTATGGGAAAACCTATGCATAAACCATAAGGGCCTAGGGCCTGCAGACCTCTATCTCCTATAAAATGCTCCTAGACTACAGCCCACTATCAACAGCTACACCAGCGATACAATGGGAAAGGGAACTAGGCATGAACCTCACTAAACAGCAATGGGATGAATTATTGAACTCCCCTAGGAAACTGATTAAATGTACAACACTCATTGAACAACATATGAAGATAGTATATAGGTGGTATCTGGTCCCAGAAAAACTACACAGGCTCTACCCCTCCAGCTCCCCAGAGTGCTGGAGATGCACCAAACATATCGGAACCACCTTACATGTCTGGTGGCAGTGCCCACTGATACAACCACTCTGGAGGGCAGTACAGAGAGTGCTTCAAGAAATCACAATCTCCGAACCACAATATGACCCAAGCACATACCTACTACTAGCACTACCTCCAATGACCCCACAACATATGAAAAATCTGACATACCACCTCCTGCTTACGACCCAACGAGTAATCGCGAGGGCATGGAAATCTTGCAATACCCCTTCCATAGAAGCAGTCCTAGCTGAAATGGACAAACAACGAATCTATGAGAAACACTTCCATAATATATGTCCCCCTACGAACATGATATTAGCTACATGGGAAAGCTGGGATAAATGGAGGCTAAAACATCCCCCTAGATAGCTAGGTGCCACAAAGCTCAGGGGATAACTGAAGGGATGTAAGAATGGTATAGCAGAGTGGAGACCTAGACAAAGCGTACAAAGCAAAGGGTAGTATTGAAAGATAGGAATGTATTCCATGTCAGTTCTCCTGAAAGGAAGACAAATGCTTGTATATCGAATTGTAACTAAGTTCAATCTGAATTGATGATCCCCCTCCCTGCCCCTTCCCCCCTCTTCTTCCCTTCTGTACCCCTTCCCCTCTCCCCATTTCCTTGTGTTGACAATTCCTAATGAAAACAATAAAAATTGTCAAATTTCAAAATAATCAAATATTTGCTTACCCCTTACTAGGAAGTTTTATGTATTCTTGATGTGGGGTAATATGAAAAAAAAGACAAAATAACAGAACAAATCTAGTGTAGATGGTACTTTCAGATAACTAAGTGAAAATAGATATAAGTAGATGCACTCACAATATCCAGAGGATAAGGCTCTATAACAATGCAGATGTGCTTTTTAGGCAGCACCCTACCTTCTTGAGTTGATGAGGATCTCAGAATAAACAAGACAAAAGATTATGGTGCAGTATGTCTGGATGTATCATAGACCTGAAATCACTTTAAAATGGGGACTCTCACCTTATTGATATTATGTGCCTTGGCTCTCAGGTATAAGTACCTGGTGTCAAATTGTGGGGTGTCACTCCCCTAGGTCTAACCTGGAGCAGGACTTACTTATAGATACTGATAAAATTCCAATATTTATTATTAAAAAAACAAAGTTTACATATAAAATCAAGTAAAAGAGAACTTATAAGTCTGCAATGTAGTCCTTAAGTGCCAAAACGCATTTCGCTGGGTAAGCTTCTTCAGTTGGCTGTGATCACAAAGTAAAACAGTTTGTAAAGCCTGTGCAAACTGATTCATCCTGTGGTCAAGACCACCCAGACACATATCATGGGAGACTGAAGAGGGCTAAAGCTGCAGGATCCATAATGGCCCTGTTGTAATGTCATGAATTGGGTAACCCAACACGCAGAATAATAACCCTCCTAAAGGTACCAAGTAATTACCTAAACTGGACCTTAGACTGGCTGGATTGAAAGTAAAAAAAAAAAAAAAAGAATAGTCAAAACCAAGCCTAAGTCAAAGAGAGACAGAGTACAACCAAAACAAAATACCAGAGCTGAGTCAAGGGAACCAGAAATCAGAGTAGTAAGGGAAAAGCCAAGTCAATACCAAATATTGAAAAAAAAACAGATACAAAATCACTCATGGGACACTAGGAAAACTAGGAACCACAACAGGGCACTGAAACATGGCTAAATGTGCTTTTATATGTTTGGGGGTGTGATTGATGTAGTCACGCCCTCAAAACATGAGAGGGCACCTGTAAATCACATCCCTTGTACTGCCTATCGCCTGATGTTGGCACATGTGCGCTGCATCATAGAAGGGGGCAAACAGCATCCAGTGTCCAGAAGACTAGCCAATCATTCAGGAAGACTGGAGGAGGCAGTCTGCCCGATCGGAGAAACAGCGAATCGGCAGACCGCCAAGGTAAGTATTGTGTTCTTTACAGATTCTACGTCAAATATTTCTATTTCTAGTCTAATCATTGTCTTGGATTTCAACATTTGGGAAGTAATGATGAACTTTCTCTCTGAAGAATTGTTAAATGGTCAACAAGTTGCAATCTGATATCACATTTTAGCTCACACGCTTTGAAAAGCATTTAAAAATTTCCTTCATTCACTTGTCTATTCCAAACTGCTATTTTTTCTCTCGTAGCACACATTTTATTTAATGCTGTTAAGATATTTTCTCATTTTCGTCAATTCGGAACTTTGGCAATTCGGCACTTTCTGTACTTTCGACAACTTCAGCACTTCGGAACTTCGGACCTCCGGACCTCCGGCATTTCGTTACTTTTTTTGCAGCCGCTTGTAAATAACTCCCTAACTCCCTAATACCGTGGGAATTAGGGAGTTATCTACCAAAAGGCTGAAAGACCTAAATTGGTCTTTCAGCCAAATTTACTAATACTAAGTAAAATTTACCTAGTATTAGTAGCCTGTGGCTGCTCACTGTTAAAAAAAAAAAAAAGGACCCCCCCCTCCCTGAGCGGCGGATGGGGGCCCTAAAGTAAAAAAAAATGGCCCCCACCCCTAAGCTTGGGGGGACCTAATGTCACCCCCCCCGACCCTTACCCCTGAGTGGTGGGTGGTGGCCCTAAACAAGAATAAGGGGGGGAACCTAATGTCCTCCCCACTGTCCCCTAAATACAAATTTATCTCCCCTCCCCCAAAAAATAAACCCCTACCTACCCCCCTCACCCTAAAAATAATGAGGGGGGACCTTTAACTAAGTACCCGTAAAAATAAAAATAAACTTACCATTCGATGTTTTATTTCTTCTAAAATCTTCTTTTTTCAGCCCCAAAAAAGGCCAAATCAAAATCCATAATAACCGACGCAATAAAAAAAAACTGAGCGCCAAAAAAATATAAAAAAATCCATGTTCACACATGGAGGGCTCTGCGCAGACTGAGCTCTGCAGGGCGGGGGAAGGCTTATAAAGCCTTGCCCCGCCCTGCAGTTAGGCTCAGAGCACTCTGATTGGTGGGTTTAAGCCATCCAATCAGAGTGCTCTGACAGGTAAATGAAGAGACTGACAGGTAAGTCTCTAAATTTACCTGTCACAGCACTCCGATTGGTTGGTTTGAAATCCACCAATCAGAGTGCTCTGTGTCATTTTACACAGCGTGGGAAAGTGCTTTAGAATTTTTCCACGCTGTGTAATTTGACTCATAACTCTCTGATGGGTGGATTAAGTAACGTCGCAGATGGGGGCTCAGGAAGGGGGACCTTTTTTTTTTTCTTTTTTTTTAATAGGCATGCCCCTACTCACGGGAATAGCTATAATCTTTACTTAGTATTAGTACATTTGGCTGAAAGACCAATTCAGGTCTTTCAGCCTTTAAGGAGGGAGCTCCCTAATACCGTGGGAATTAGGGAGTTATCTACTTTTTCATTCCTGTCATTACACTGACTGGCTAAGTAACTTACATTTTATATGACTGTGTGTTACTTGAAGTGTTGCAAATGCTTACAGCTGAATCCTGGCTACGTTTGTATTCTTTTTATTTGAAATTGTATACAATGTAACATTCTTCTTCTTTCACTGGGTAAGAATATTAGTACTTAGGCAATACTGTACTTCGGCACTATGACACCTCGGAACTTCGGAACTTCAGCAATTCGGGACTTTGGCACTACTACACTTCAGAAATTCAGGTCAATTCAGTACTTCGGGACTTCCGCAATTCGGCACTTCGGCAATTCAGCTATTTGGACATTCGGAAGCACCCAAATGTCCGATTTACCCGAAATTCGGCATAATTTTAATTCGGACCGAAACGAATTGCACATGTCTAGTCATTCTCTTTCTTTGCTAAAGCTATGAAACCTTTCGTAGAATCAGTGATTAAGGGTGTGCCATCTGTACATATTCCCAAACAATTTAACTATTGCAAATTATTTCCTCCATGAAGCAATCTAAATTTTGAAATATCGAATCACCTCTAATTTTATTTGGAAGTTCTAGGCAACACAAACATTGCTCAATAATTCTGTCAGTATGAATGAAATGTCTAAAAAACATTAATTGTGCTAACCCACTGGCCTTTGTTAATTCGTCTTATTGCATTGTAAAGATCATATTCTCTTCTTGAAAAGTATCCATAATTTGCAGCTAATGTTATCAGACATGTCTTAAATATATTTTCCAATTGTGTTATCTGCCGAAAGGGATTTTATTAAATTCTATCTAAAATTTTGGCCTAAACATTGCTTGAGCAATAACAAAGTAAGAATCCTTTATGGTGGTTTTGGCAGTAGTGTGTGGTTCCTTTTTTGCAATTATTTGAGCAACCAGTAACCAGTAACTTTCCTTTTAAGCTTTCTCTCTTCATTCTCTTTGTGAATGATGCAGACTGCTTCTTTATAGATTTTGAAAGCTCAAAAAAGTATTCTACTGGTGGTCTCACAAACAGGGCTGGACTGGGACAAAAATCCATCCCAGACATTTAAAGGCAGTGCAGCGCTAGGAGGGGCGCAACCCGCGAGGTTGCATGTT